CAAGTGGATCGCTCAAGCCAGCCGTACCCTATCTAGTTAGGTGCGCGTTCACATGAAAGGGGTGGTATTTGGAGCAAATCGACCAATCACAAACGTGGACAAGCCGTACTGACTGGCGCGTCATACTTCCTCAATGAAAAGTCAACTAATGTTAGACAAATATGAAGACGTTAAACTTTAAACCCATCCATGACATAAACACTTTATCCAGGATAAAAGCCACATAGTTGCAGCTGCAAGGTGAATACAGCTGGTAAAAGAAAAAGTGTTTGAATGCGTTCATTAACAGTTGTATTATATCACTGCTGCCCGTCTAAGACACTAGTAGTGGATCTGGAATACATTATTTATCTGTTTTTTAGCAGCTTTTAAACTAACCGTAAAAATAAATGATTTTCTGTTGGCAAACTTAGCTGCATTTTCTGTAATTTTACTAAAAAATACTTTTGTTATGGCTATATATATCACTGTCAAATACATAACAAATACTGTTAATGCTCGTTTAAAAAATGTATAATTGCAAGAAAATATATGAGTAAAGAAAGAATGTAACCACTGCTTTACATTGATAAACTGAAAAAACACAGGTATTGACTATCCTATTATAGTAAAAAAAAAAATTTTTTTAACACATTTTGACTTGTATTACTTTGAGGATTGAATTGTTAAATATGTGAATTTCAGGTTATAAAAACTGTGTAAAACCATAGAGTTTTTTTAATTTTATTTAACCTTTATTTAACCAGATAAAAGCATTGATATAAAATCTCATTTTCAATGCTGACCTGGCCAAGAAGGCAGCAACGTTACACATAACACATAACACAAACATATAAAATACAGAGAACATAACTAAGAAAACAAAAGACGAAAAAGCAGTCACTACATTGTGCACATTAGGACAGTAAGAAAGGTACACTACTTATTACTGCAAGAGCAGCTGGTGGTAAGGACTTCAGACAACTTCAATTTAAAACATACTATTGAGACAAGTGCCCTCAGTTTTAGGCTTGATTGAAGGTCATTCCAAGACCAAGGACCATAATAAAAAAAGACTCCTTTTCCAGCCTCAGTCCGCACAGCAGGTACCTGGAACCGTATCCAGGCACTGGATCTGAGGTTGTAAGAGTCACAAACTGGGGCAAATCTGGCACATATGTAGAGTGGAAGCTTACCTAAAATGGCTTTATACATTAATAAAAACCAATGCTGCATCCTACGCATAGTAAGTGAGGACCATCCAGTTAGGCTAAACAGCCTATAGGGTGCATTTGATATATAACGCAGTGCAGCATGGTAGAGTGGGTCAAGTTTGGCCATCACAGTGGGACAGGCAAATCTATAAATGGTATCACCGTAGTCCAGCTGGGACAGGAAAAAGCCAGAGACCAACCTTTTACGGGATGAAATTGAAAAACAACATTTAAGTCTGAAAAGGAAGCCAAGAGTGAATTTCAATTTCTTTGTTAGAACTAAAATATGGTGTTTAAAGTTCAGATTACTGTCCAACCAAAAGCCCAGATATGTGTAGGTATCGACAAACTCAACAGAGACACCATCAAGGGTGTCAATGGAGAGGCAAGAGGACGCTGACTTGGGAGCAAAAAGCATTGCTTTGGTTTTCTTACTGTTCAATAGCAGTTTGGAATCGAGAAGTGCATGCTGCAGCGTGATAAAATCAGATTTTAAATTGGAAACGGCCATATCCAGAGAAGGAGCACATGAGTATACAATAGTGTCATCAGCATACATATGATAGGTAGAAAATTGCATCTGATTACAAATATTGTTTACATATAATAAAAAGAGCAAGGGCCCCAAAATAGAGCCCTGTGGAACTCCCTTCTCCAAGGTGACAGAGACAGTACTACCCAACCTGACGCATTGAGTACGGTCGGTTAGATAACTCTGAAACCAGCAAATGGCATTATGACCGAAACGAGACACCAACATAACATTAGACATAATGTGGTGATCTACAGTGTCAAATGCTTTGGCTAGGTCAATAAACAATGCAACACAAACAGATTTGTTATCCAAAGCAGCCTTAATATCGTCTAAGACTTTCAGACTGGCAGTCACAGTTCTGTGCTTTGATCTGAATCCAGATTGCATAGGGTTAAGGATGTTATGTGAATTTAAAAAAGGTTTTAGCTGAGTAGAAACTAGGGACTCAAGAATCTTTGATAACACAGAAAGATTTGAGATAGGACGATATTATTCAACTCTGTGGGATCACCAGCTTTCAAGAGGGGCGATACCAGAGCTTGCTTCCACACAGCTGGCAGTGTGTGAGTGGACAGGGAGAGATTACAAATATCAGTTACTGGTTGTGCTATAATCTGAGCTGCAATTTTTAAAAAGAACGGGTCGAGGCTGTCGGGCCCGGCAGACTTTTTAGGATCAATTGAGTGCAAACCCTGTAAGACTTCAGAGACCGAGAAATAAGCAAAATCAAAAACAGGGGAGTTCATCTCTTGACTAGGGCTGTGAGTACGACCATGCAGAGAGTCATGACTTTGCTCATCAAAAATGTGACCAGCCTTTTTGAAGTGAGCATTGAAAGCATTAGATAGACCCTCCAGAAAAACGCGGGCTAAAATCCTTGATTATGCAGGCTAAAATCCTTGATTATGCGGGCTAAAATCCTTGATTATGCAATTAAACATGCGGGGTTTTTATGTGATTTTATGCGGTGAAGTTGCGAAATATGCGGAAATATGCTAAATATGCGAAAAGTTGCGAAATATGCGGGAGGCGGAAAAAAGGTGATTCTTCTCCCACACCCTGTTACTAGGCTACTACTGAATGAAAGTGAGCCCTTTTAAAGAGTTCCTATGATAAACAAGCATACTAGAAGCAAGCTACATCACAAAGTGTTATTTATGTATTTATATATGGGCTATTTTAATCACTCTCTCTCACACACACACACACACACACTCTTCTCCGCCTCATTCTGTTTTCATTTACTCGTTCGTTATCTGACCAGCTTCAATCTTGTAGGCTACTCACCTCGTTTCTTGTAGCCCCCGAAAGGGTTTTGGAGGTTGATGCCTCGGTGAACGCGAGTTGTTTGGCTTTCTTGTCCGCAGTAGCAGAAAGCATTTTCGAATGTTTGAATGAATCAAAGTGGGTCGTCACCGTCGATTTTCTCTTATGCTCCAACACACAGTTGCACGGGGTGCAGAATAGTTTCCCCCCACTTTCGTGCAAGACATCGGCGTACTGCTTTGCCCGGTCTTTAGCAGAAATGTTCGTAGGCAAATAAGATGGATTCGATTTGTTCATCTTGGTCAGAGCCGTATAATAGTATAATAGTATATAATAATAATAGTATAATAGTATATAATAATCTATATGGCGCTGATCTTGTTGTTTTCTCTCTCGTGTGAGTTCCACACATTCACTCTACGGTGTTGTTTACCTGCGCGAGCTGATGACATCACTACTTCACGTTAACTTTTTTTCCCCTCAATTTTGTGTGGAAAAATGCGGGGATTATGCGACCTTTTAATAAATATGCGCCCTTTTAAAAATCTGCGCCATTTTGCTGATTATGCGGTAAATTATGCGATCGCATAATCGCGTTTTTCTGGAGGGTCTAATTAGACATACCATCTGAATCTGAAATAAAAGAATCACTGACCTTCAGTTTTTGTGGGAAACTAGAAACCTTCTTGTTCTGAAGTGATTTAATTGTTTTCCAGAATTTAGAATGGTCATTAAAACAATCAGTGGTTAAGCTCAGATAGTAATGAGCTTTAGCTTTTTTAATAAGGGCTGAACATTTATTTCTGAGGACACGAAAAAGAAGCCAGTCATCACTAGTGTTAGACTTTCTAGCTAAGGACCATTGCTTATTTCGATCATGAATTAGATCAGATAGTTCTCTAGTAAAAATGGAGTGTTCCTATTCTTAACTCTGAATTTTCTAAGGGGGGCATGTCTATTAATAATCGATAAAAATTGATCAATAACAAATTGGACGGCAACATCGACAGATGGAATTAACGCTATGAAGTGCCATTTAACCTCCGCCAGATCGTGTAGGAAAGCCTGCTCAGAGAAGTGTTTGAAGTAGCGCCTGAGCACAATAAGGCCCTTGGCTTTGGGCAACTTAGTGCTCCTAACGCAAGCAATAGTGCAATGGTCACTGATATCATTAGGAAAAACACCAACAGACTCATACTTATGAGCTGCATTTGTTAGAATGACATCTATAAGGGTATCGTTATTGGGTTTGGCAGGGTTTATTCTAGTGGGACTATCAATAAGCTAAGTTAAGTTCAAAGAATCACAAACCTGCTTAAACTCTGAAGATTTATCACTCAACCAGTCCCAATTTAAATCACCCAAAAATATGATTTCAGAAGAAAACGTAGACAACAATTCAGTAAGGCTAGTAGTTGCATCCATGAAGGCCGATGGAGGCCTATAACAGCCAATAACAGTGAGAGGAGCATTTGCTATAGTTATTTGGACTGCTAGCAACTCAAATTGCCTTGGAATTGAAATTGAGTGAAGGACTGAGCACTGTAGTTTCTCAGCAGTGTATATTGCAATACCACCAGCTCTGCCCTTACGATCCGCTCTGAATACATTATATCCATCAATGTGAATAACAGTGTCAGTGACAGACGGTTTTAACCAGGTTTCAGAAACTACAACAATATCAGGCTTGGCAACTAAAAACCAGGTCTTGAAAACATCTAATTTGGGCACTAGGCTTCTAGCATTAACATGCAGAAAACCCAATCCTTGCCTACAGCTAAACTCATTCGGAGTTGGCAAATGATGCAAGGAAGCAGAGAAACACTCAGGACCAGGGTTATAACGTTACCAGAGAGTAATAGCAGTAACAATATTAACAGTCTGGAAGATGATCTTTTCACATGAGCTCTGGACGCGTCACTCCTCAGGGGGGCGGGGCTGCTCCGATCCTTCGATATTAGCGAGTCCAGAGTCAAAAGGGCATACGGGAGAGCGCATTTCGTGCCATGAAACGTCAGCTTTTGGTAAAAACTATCCGATGGAGTCAGCGCTCCAGAGGTTCCACCATCAGAATGTCCGAAGTGAACAGAGACATCGCTGGGAGGCAATCCGTCAGTTTTGCCGACATGCGGGCTGACAATTAATCCCAGGAAAAAAGTGAACACAAGGGTAGCTTTAGGCAAAATTGCCACACACCCAATTCAGGATCCGCAGCTCAGGTCGATCAGCAGCTCAGGTCAATCAGCAGCTCAGGTCGATCAGCCCCCGACAGCACGGCAGGACAGACAGCAATCCAGAGTCCGAAAGAGCGACAGCTCAGGCAGAGAGCAAACAATCCAGTCACAGTGAGGCACAGGCACAAAACGACGCAAAACAGCCCAAAAACTTTTAAAAGCTTTTAAAACGTTTTAAAAGCGCAGCAGACCAATTTAAAAACGGGTCTAAAAAGCTAAATAAAAATTATAAAATGTCAGTATGCACAAGAGGTAGTCAATGCCAAAAAAAAACGAGAATGAGACAAACACTAACAGAGACAGAGACAGAAACAAATTAACGTGCTGCCATCTTGGAACACACAGCTGGGAGTTAAATACAACAAAAAACAAGTTGACTGTTATTAACATGTTGGGTGCGAATTCCTACCAGAGCACAATACAGATGTAAAATGATGCTATAACCCACAAGTAACAGCCATAGACTGCAGTAGCGTGGCGTGGGGAAACATTTAGGGGAAGCCCATTTTTTTGGGTTGGTTGTGGGGGGGGGGGGGGGGGGGGGGGGGGGGGTGGTCAATAACGTAACCAGATGAGTGATTACAGCGCCCGGTATCATTTTACACACATTTGTATCACACAGATGCAGGACTTGCACACGCCTGTTATCTAACCGACAGGTCCGCACGCACTCTCCAGCCGAAACTCTCGTTTTATTAATTTAAGCATTTTCTTATTAATTTATGCAGACACACCCCCCCCCAAATGCAATACCAGCCGCTCAATGCACAGTGCATTCATTCACAAAGTAAATCAGGAGACCTTTAAAGTTTTATGTACACATCAAAGTATCAGTAGGCGTGTATGAAACACATGAATTCAAAAACAATTATGTACAGAAACATTTGCATGCGATAGTCCACCTTCCCTTTCTAACACACGGCAAGTGCAGCAACAGTCCTCGTCTCTGTAATTAGCTCAGTCCGTAGTCCAAAAGTAACTAAAAAATATAAACAATCTCATCTATTCAGGTGAAATCGCCAGCTGCCTCTGAAGGGAAGCCAGAGAAAGCTGGCTTCCCTTGGCATGGCCCTGACCAATCACAGGTTGGCAGGGGCATCACGTGGGCCTCATCTGATTGGTCAATCCCTCAATTCTTTTCACCAAGGGAAACCCAATCTGACTAGCCTCCTCTCGCAACAGTGAATGCAATCTACTGTTTCACCATAACATCTAGAGGGGCGCTGATTGTTTCACTCTTTGTAAAATACTCAATGAGAGTGGGGGAGAGACGGGCCGGCAGCAACACACAGCAAAGGAGAATTATCGAAACAAAACAAAGTGTTTTTATTTATTTATTTAAATTATAACTACAATCCGAAAAAACAGGGGAAGCCTGGCTTCCCTTGGCCTCCGGGAGAAAACGCCACTGATAGACTGTGGGTTATATAGGAGACATTTGTCTATGCCAGCGGTTTTCAAAGTGTGAGGCGCGCCTCCCCTGGGGGGCGCCAGAGAGCGTCAGGGGAGGCGCAGCGTGAGACAAAAAATAACGAGAAAAATATGAGTTACGTGAGACTTGCCCACTTTTGGCTGTCTTTGGAGACCGAGTTCCCCCACCTCGCCAAAAAGGCTGTAAAAGTGCTCATTCCCTTCACCTCCACCTACCTGTGTGAGTGCGGGTTTTCCGCATTGACTTTGATCAAAAGCAAGTGCCGGTCGAGGCTGCAGCCAGAGGATGATCTGCGTTTATTCCTGTGTGCATCAAAGACGCAGACTCATTGTTCCCACTAAAGTAGGGGTGAGTATAATAAGTAGTGATGTTACGTATTGCGCCGAGGCTTCAGAGCGTGTGTCGAGTAATCCCCGAAGCTTTTTGTGAAGCATGTATCGAGGCTTGTATCGAGGCTTGTATCGTTTTGGGCCAGTGACGTCATCGATAACAAACGAAGCCTCGCTGCCTGTCGATACCACGTGACTGCTTCAGGAAGCGATTCAGATCGGTTGAACCGTTGACCCACAACGCTCATAATACCCATGGATGTATAATAAGAACCATATTACCCCTCCTGTACCAGTAGCGTGGCGTGGGGAAAAATGTAGGGGAAGCCCATTTTTTTGGGTTGGGGGTGGTCAATAACGTAACCAGATGAGTGATTACAGCGCCCGGTATCATTTTACACACATTTGTATCACACAGATGCAGGACTTGCACACAAATCTGACAGTTCAAGCGCTAGCCAATCAAACCGCGTGTATGCTGGGAGAGACATACCGCAGGTCATTTCCTCATATTCCAAAAAATGGAGGAGAAATTAGCGGTAGGGAATCACCCGGTGCTTTATGACCAGTCCCTATTTACCTACCGGGATATAAACCGGAGGAGCCAGGCATGGAGGGAGGTGGCAGAGACAGTGGTAGGTTTTCGCCTGTTTGGGGAGTTTATATCCAGTTTACTTCGGGCTTTTTTGCTTTTTTTAATGCTTCATTTGCTTGATAATTTCAAACGGCGGTGATGACAGTTACAGTAGGCTACTACAGTACGTAGTAAAACTGATGTTGATGTGATTTGATTGGATGGCAGTGTCCAATCAAATCGCCAGCCGCCTCTGAACAGAAGCCAGAGGCGGCTGGCTTCCCTTGGCATGGCCCTGACCAATCACAGGTTGGCAGGGGCATCACATGGGCCTCATCTGATTGGTCAATCCCTCAATTTTTTTTCACCAAAGCCTCATCCCAATACCCCTCCTTGACTCCTCTCTTCCCCTCCTCCGGAACTTGACCCGGAAATCGATCAAGACACGCCATTTTGAAGGACGTCCCAATAGCTGAAATGCACACGGAGGAGTCGAGGAGGGGTGAGGGAGGAGGGGTGCGGGAGGAGACGAAAGGGAGGATACACGAGAGCAGACTACGCGGAAGTGTTTTCACTACTCGCTGTGCACATGTCATCATTAACAGACGTCGTTTAAGAGTGACGTTTGAGTGAACGAGGACATCCCAATTAATACCTGAGGACTCCTCTGTCCTCGCGTCACCTCCTCGTGTCTCTCGTTCGCATCTTACGGAGGCGGAGCTAAGACGCAAGGAAGGGACGCGAATGAGGGAAAGGAGGAGTCGAGGAGGGGTATAGAGTGGCGAAGTCACGCCCACTTACTTCCGGGTAATGAGACCTTATTTCGGAAAAATTATGCATTGAAGTCAATGGGGAGAGAAAACGTATCTTTCGATCCCGTTTGAATTGTGCCATGAATTACACATATGATGTTTGTCAATCTTAAAAAATAATTTCCATGTCAAAAAAGTCACAGTTTGTCGTAAAACTGTTGAAATATAAGACTATGAAAAATACGCAACTAGAAAGACTACAAATCCCAGAGTCGCGTAAGTGATGTCACAATTGAGACACTACGATATACGTATATAATACCGTATATATACGATCAGCGCCATATAGATAGAATCTATCTATATGGCGCTGGCTAAGATAAGATAACTTTAACAAGATGCCTGTGTGCTTAGTACCAGGTTGTTATTATACCAGCAATGGGTCTTGCTCGTTCTTTCGCTTCCCGTCTGACTTATGACTATGCTACTTGGTCACTGATATATTTTTTGAATGCATTGCCACTGTGCATTGCTACATGGTCATCGTTCGTCCGTCATGTACTGTCTTTGTATCCTGCTTGAATGCTCTTTTTATGATGCCTTCCTCAGGAATAGCCCCTCTTTTTTTTAATTGAATTAATTTGATTTCTACTTTTCTGTCTCTCAGAGTGACGATGAAGTAGAGATGGCTGCAGACGACGAAGGAACAGATCAACAACATGAAATGGTACAATATAAACATGCAGGGATTGTTTTACTTATTAAAAAAAGAATTTATTCTGTTAAAATCCATGACCTTTGCTACATTACAGGTAGCAGTAAGAGACAACACAGTTTTCTATGATGATAAGAATACAGATTTATCCGACACAAAATAAATTGGGTTACAAATATTTAACAAAATGTATCTTATTATTTTATAACTTATAGTTAACATTAATATTATTTTCACTGTACTGTATGCACATACGACTTTCACCCGCACTGCTACCTTCCCATTTAAATATATTTTGTTGCTGCATGCTATAACACCTGCATTCCCTATGGGCATCAATAAAGATCCATCTTATCTTATAGCCTTTTGCTGTCTCTCAGGCTGACCACCTGTCTGGAGGGTCATCAGAGGACGGAGGGGAAGATCCAAACCATGAAATGGTATAATTTGTGCAGGTCCACTTTGTTCCAGAAAGACAAATTGGTGTTTGGCTTAACTACGACTTCTGCTGCTCTTATATTACAGAACTCTGACCGAGGCACAAACACTTCAGATGAAAGTGCAGGCGAAGATGTAATGGTGTGTAAGATTGTTTTCATTATTATAATGGAAAAAATGTATCTCCTCTGCTTAGCAAACAGTTTAGTATTTCTGGTGGTAACAATATAGTGCTTCTTTAGGACACAATGGATTATAGCTGTATAAGTTTATTTAGGACAGACCAGGTAATGTTAACAGCATGACACTAAATCAGAGCCCACTGTTTATGATTACATCATCAAGATCACACTGGAACTATAAACGTTGTTGATTAACATAAAGAAGGTGATTGGCTGAATTAGGAGTTAAACTGGGAAAATGCTCTTCTGCACCTGGCCTAAATACAGGACTGGATATGATCACAACTAACTTTCTGTATCTCTGCAACTTCTGTATTATAGAATGAAGATAGAGCTAACTCAGTTCCATCTGGTGACGACACTCCCGAAGATCCAATGGTGAGATCATTTAGCTAAATGTGTTTATTTTGCTTAAATATTGAAAATATAGACATTTTATTTTGGTATTGACATATAATGTGTTATCCTTTTTATTAGGAGCATGTATTTGACCCTACCTTCAATGGTGAGAAGAAGATCTATGCTGGTTCTTCAGTTACCATGGCAGCTCTCCTTCTTCTTCTCATGGCTTTTATCCTGAAGCATGGCCTGTCAAAAGCAGCGACCAAACACCTCCTCGAGCTCCTAAACTTTGTGGTGCCCGGATGTGTGCCAAAGTCAGTGTGGTATTTAGAGAAATACTTTCTTGATTATAATGACAAAACAGAAATTCATTTTTACTGTCCCAGATGTGCAAACTACCTCGGTGTTGAACCAGGTAATGAGTGTGGGGTGTGCCAGCAGAGTTTGAACAGAAAGGGTCTACTTGAGAAGGCATACTATTTCCTTGTAATGCCACTTAAAGTGCAACTGAGAAATATCCTTGCCAATGTCCAATCAAAGCTAGGCAAGCATTTCACAAGAGATGCCTCCATTTCTGATATCAACACTGGAAGTGAATACAGACGCGAGGCTCAGGAAGTCAACACTGACAGTATTACACTAACCTTCAATTGTGATGGCGCCCCTGTGTTCAATTCATCAAAAACTTCAATTTGGCCCATCTTGTGTACTATCAATGAATTACCATTTGTGGATAGATGTAAAAATGTTCTATTGCATACATTATGGTTTGGCAAAGGGAAACCCAAGGTTCAAAGTTACTTCACCCCATTCATCCATGAACTTCAAAAACTGAGGGACACAGGATTCTATTGGAAAGATGATAATGGATTAGAACATCACACCAGAGTAACAGCTAAAATATGTATTTGTGATGCAGTAGCAAGGGCAATGGTGCAGAACTTTAAACAGTTCAATGGAGAATTTGGATGTGGTTTTTGCTACCACAAAGGGGAGGTGGTACCAAAAGGCAGAGGTTTTACTAGAGTCTATCCTGTACAGATAGTTGGATGTGAACTGAGACAAATGGCTGAAACTGTACAACTTGCCGAGTTAGTGATGGAAAACGGTGATGACAAAGCTCAAAGGGGTGTTAAAGGACCAAGTCCACTGATCCTGTTGCCATCATTTGACCTTATCAAAGGCTTTATACCAGACTACATGCATTGTTTTTGTCTTGGTGTAGTGCGTCAATTTGTTAATCTTTGGTTTGACCCTCATTATGCCAACAAGAACTTTCACTTGACTCCTCTTCAGTTAGATGACCTGGACAAAGCTTTGTGTAAGATTCAGCCACCAAATGAAATTAGAAGAAATCCTAGGCGCTTAAGTGAGAGGATATATTGGAAAGCTTCTGAGTGGAGGGCATTTGCTCTTCTCTATTCCCCTGTAATATTAAGGACTGTTTTGCCAGGACTTTACTACAAACATTGGATGCTTCTTGCATGTGCGGTTCACATCCTCCTATCCCAGTTTGCCACTCATGATGAGCTCAATTGTGCAGAGTTATGTTTAGTTCAATTTGTAGCAAAAGTACCAGATCTTTATGGACCTGAACATTGTTCATATAACTGCCATATGTTGACACATCTTACCCAGAGTGCCAGGGACTGGGGTCTTTTATGGGCCAATTCAGCATTTGTGTTTGAAGATATGAATGGAAAACTCTTGCAGTTGTACTCTGGCACGCAATCAGTTTCTTCACAGATTTTTAAGAATTTCTTTTCATATCAGAAAGTTGTAAGAAAAGGAAATGCTTTATTCCAGGATTCAAGCAGAGAAATGCAAGATTTTTTCTTTTCCCTGACCAGTAGTAACATTCTTACGAAGTCAGCAAACTGCATAAGAGAACATTTAGTCACTTTAGGATGTGGCTCTCACAGACTGTTAAATGTGAGGGAGATTGCTGCACTGCAAAACAGTACACCCACAAGGTACCAACATCTTAATAGTGTAACTGAATACAAGCGTTGTGTGTATAAAAACATTTTAGTCACCACCAGAGACTACAGTATGCATTTCAAAAGAAATAATTCAGTGATAGAAACCTCAAATTGCTTTGGTATGGTAGAGTCCTTGGTTGTTGTACCAAAACCCTGCAACTGTGAAAGAGATGCAAACTGTTGTTGCAGAGAACTTCTTGTTTTCTACAAGCCATTGCAGCAGGAGCACATACAGCCAGCTATCTATGATGCAGAGATCCATACAAACATTGCAACATTTCTTGTAAAAGTAAAGATCTCCAATGAATTGTGTGTATTGACATGTGAGGACATAGTAGCTAAATGTATTGCAATTGAACATGGGGGTAAGCTATATGTGATGAAAATGCCTGTGTTTGAGACAAGTTAAATGTTGAGGGCTAGCACAAACTGTTGAGACTCAATTTGTCTGCACATAATATGATGATTTAAATGTGTTTTTCTTTATGCTATTATTGTTTTTTTATAACTCACTGTTTGATCATTAACTGTATTTTGTAATGCATGTGTGTTTGTGTCTGTGACTGGGTAAATCTGCATGGATATTTCTAAATATGTGAGTAAAACGCCACATTGAAGCTCTGTATGAACTCAGTTGTCTCATTCAATAACAACATTGAGAACATCTTTATCTAAAGTGTAATTCTTTGGCTATTTTGTGTCAAGATGTGTTGAAAAAGAAGATGAAAATATATGTTACCTAAAGGGAAACCAACTAAAACCAGCAATGAAAAATACTAAACAAAGTATAAGACCTGCATTAACATTAATAAAAAAATGCATACAATGGGACTTGAGTGATTATCATGATACATACCATGGTATACACCATGGTATACCTATAGTACCATTTGAATACTCTATGGAGTACCAGTTATCTGAGGTACCGCGGCATGTACTATAGTATCGGAGGTACCATGGTATGTACCATGGTAACAGCTGTGGTACAACGGTATGTACCAGGGTTATACCATGGTATGCATCATGGTAACATCTGAGGTACCATGGTAGTACTATGGTACACTATGGTAACATCTGAGGTACCATGGTAGTACCATGGTACGTACTATGGTACACTATGGCAACATCTGATGTACCATGGTAGTACTATGGTACACTATGGTAACATCTGAGGTACCATGGTAGTACCATGGTACGTACTATGGTACACTATGGTAACATCTGATGTACCATGGTAGTACCATGGTAGTACCATGGTATACCATGGTACGTACTATGGTACACCATGGTAAAATCTGAGGTACCATAGTAGTACCATGGTATACCATGGTACATACTATGGTACACCATGGTAAAATCTGAGGTACCATAGTAGTACCATGGTAGTACCATGGTGTACCATGGTAGTACCATAGTATGTACCATGGTATACCATGGTACATACTATGGTACACCATGGTAAAATCTGAGGTACCATAGTAGTACCATGGTAGTACCATGGTGTACCATGGTAGTACCATGGTAGTACCATGGTATACCATGGTACGTACTATGGTACACTATGGTAAAATTTCTTATGGGCACTCTAGTCAATGGGTGTTATTCCACCACACGCGGCGCGTTACGGCTCAGAAGCGGCTCGGCGCAGGGCTCCTCTAAAATTAGGATCGAATCCTATTTTTGTCGCGGCGCAGCCGTAACGTAGGTCGGGCAGGCAGGAAGTGGAACGTTCAGAGCTATATACACACACACACACACACACAAACTAATTGTGCAGACCCTATCCCTCCGTAGTCTTTCAAGTAGGAGGAGAAATGCCAGCGTTCTCCTCCGGTTTACAGGCACTGTGTACATTATAGAATAATTATGATGATGAATGCATTTTTTTACCACTAAAATACAGCAACACATCTTTGATTCATGTCGTTTATAACTGGAATATTACAGTTATTATTAACTTTGTCTGTACAAAGTAGCCTGTCCAGGAAATATGCCCAAATCAACAAAAACTGCGAGCCGGCAGGCAAGACGCTCCGCTTCTGAAATGCTTCTGAAACGTGCCTGGTAGGGTATGACGCCGGAGGAGGCCGGACCAAAACCGCAACGCGGCGCAGACGGACCCGGTGGAATCTAGGGGTAAGGCTTTACTCATTGGGAACTCGGTATGAGATAGAGCACACTGTTGAGATGTCTGTTTTACACACTTTGACCAACAGGGGGTTTGTGTTCAAATGAAGCCCATGATGAAGCCTCATGAGATGAACCCTTTTGCGAACCAATTGGCTGGAAAGCTTCAAAGCTTCATAAGGCTTCATCTCGCCATCACTATAGTAATAAGGAGACAAAGTTGACGTTCAGTGTGTTGCCGGGAGCATATAAGGATGTATCCACGATGTTAACATTTAAAAAAAAAAATGTGTTGAGAACACGGCGTGCGAAAATATACGGGTCGTGCTGCAGCTAGATTTGCCTGTCCAAGGTGTCCGCGACTGACATGCAAGGAAGAACGGCTGTCCACAGGCTGTTCCAACTTTAACAACTTTATTAACTTCCAGGGTAGTGAATTGAACATGCAATTGTAATTGGGTGTGTGGTATATTTTCATGCACGCACACGCATGTTCCACAACACACAATCTGAACAACACTCAATTGTCCGATTGCTACCAGTGTCCTTGCGATCTTGTTATAACAACAAGTGCACGTTACTGATGCAATGGTTGAGACCATTCGGGCTTATTCTAGAGGGGTGCAAGGAATAGTCCAATTAGTGGGGGAGTTTTATACAATATGTTTAAAACATAAATATAAAAAGGTTAAAAAAGGTTATTGTGTAATGTTTTAAGGAGGTGACGCTACTGGTTTAAAACACTTTTGTGGTCATACTGTGGAATGAGTTCACACTGAAACGAGTTCTTCATTCAAAAATCGCGGGCAATTAGGCCTACAGTACATGTAAGAAGAAGGAGAAGAAGAAGTAAAATAAGTAGTAGAAGAAGAATGAAGCTGGTGTGTTTCCCGCAGCGAGACACTACAATACTAATTGTGGGCTTATCATGTTGATTCGACCACAACAGAAACCCCCCCCCCTCTCGCTCTCTCCAGAGGGGCAGGTCAGCCAAAAAGGGAAAACGGGCCGTTGCCCATGCAACATTAGCCCGTACCTGTGCACACGTCCGTGGGCGGCAGCCATATCATTAGATAGATCTGATGGATTTGGACATAAACGCGAGTGAAGTATAACCAAACGCAAGAGAGAGACCTGCAGCTCTGCCCGCTGTGAGGGACCGGTGAGCGGAGCAAAACACACCTTTAGACCTAACACACTTGGCTATGGCACTGTCGTATACCTACATTGAATTATTCCATTTGATAATATGTAATCAATTTAGGCACCCCTCCCAAGAAAAAAAGAAATTACAATAAAAATATTCATAACTCATATTCTCATATTCTATACC